TTAGCGTCTAAGATTTACAGCAATCAAAAGAAGACACTTGAAAGCTTGCTTTAATACAACAATGTATAAGAATAAATTATTCTAAAGTTTCATCAACAAACAAAACTGTACATTCACGACCGTTATCTGTCATTCTGATGAGCTTTTTAGAGGAGATGACAAGAATTTGAATTCAAATCATTAGGATTATCTATTTACAGATGGAATACACACCAGAGATGTCCATCGCGGCGCTGCCGCGCCGCCGCCGCTGCCGCTGCCGCTGCCGCGGTGGCGGTGGCGGCGCGGCAGCGGCAGGTTTTTAAAAAAAATCACCGCGGCAGCGGCGCGGTAGCGGCAGATTTTTTTAAAAGTCATCGCGGCAGCGGCGCGGTAGCGGCAGGTTTTTTAAAAAACCATCGCGGCAGCGGCGCGGCAGCGGCAGGATTTTTTTGGAGGACATTGAAAAACTGTATGAATTTAATGGAATTTCACGATTTACAAATGAAACGCCCTGATATTGAATAAATCTGATGGACTAGTACCCATATCTCTGGTCAAATATAGTCACAGCAGTGAAATTAGAAACACTTTTTTGAAAATCGTCGCGGCAGCGGCGCGGTGGCGGCACGTTTATTTTATAATTCATCGCGGCAGCGGCGCGGCAGCGTTTCTTTTATAAGTCATCGCGGTGCGGCAGCGTCGCGGCAACATTTTTTTATAAACCGCCGCGGCGCGGCAGCGGTGCGGCAGCTTTTTTTTTCTAAGGCCGCGGCGCGGCAGCGGCAGATTTTCAGCCGCGATGGACATCTCTGACCCACACCCACATCCACACCCACACCCACACCCACACCCCCACACCCACACCCACACACCCACACACCCACACCCCACACACTCACACCCACACCCCACACACTCACACCCACACCCCACACCTACACCCTTCTTTCTTTCTTAATTCTTTACAGAAAGAACAAGCAAACAACAAATGTACCATTTAGACAAAAAACACATTTATTGTCTAATTCCAAAGTAAACAAACAATTCTCGAAAAGTAAAATTTCGCTGAGCAAATATCCGAATGAAATCAGCAATCGTCTATTTGTCCGCTCCTGACGTTCTCTCATAAGATGAAAGAAAAATAATTTTTTTACCTTGAAGGAAGAAAAAACCCCATACAAATGACACTCAACTTCTTTCATCTGATGGTCAACAAAAACAAAGATTCGATTAAAAGTTTCGTTTTTTCATGTACGCGTTACTTTTTTTTGTAAGAGAAAAAAAACTCAAAATCAACACAAGAAAATATATTTTATTCAGTCTAAAATCATTGCGTCGTATTTTTGTAAGTTATTGCTTTAACTTCGCAAAATAATTGTATTTTCATCAATATTTTTATACAGGTATATGATGAATCGTTTTGCTGATATTGATTTGTCGTTTAAGAAACTGCCACCTGTTTATGGTTATCGAAGTCAAAAACTAGTTCCGATTGAAAAAGCATTAGAAAATATTGTGTCTGAAATTGGTGAATTACCATATTATATAAAGATTGCTAAAAAGTATTGCCATTTTCCATCGAAACACGGTTTGACGCATGATGAATCTGCTGCTATTTATATTTATACAATGGAATGGGACGAAACTAGTCTATATCGTGTATTAAATAAAGCATTACGATTAGAAAATCGACAAGCATTAAAGATATGGTTTCCTTACTTAAAATTATTTGATACAGCATTAGATAAATTACCTACTGTGAAAGAAGTTGTATGGCGAGGTGTGCCTCTTGACATTGGCAAAAATTTCACTAAAAATCAAATGATAACATGGTGGACCGTTAATTCATGTTCATCCTCGGTTGATGTTATCAAACATTTCCTTGGTAATGATAGAAAATCAACTCTGTTTTTAATCGAAGCTGTTAATGGAAAAAAAATTTATGGTTATAGTGCTCATGAAAATGAAGATGAATTTATTTTACGAATGGGAACAGAATTGCGTGTGAAAAGCAATGCTCTGGATCATCCCTATGGTTCACATGTCGTACATTTGATTGAAGTCGATGATAATAATGATAAACCAATGATATCGGATATGAATGATATGCATATAGCTTCAACAGGTGAAAATCAACACGCTTTAGGTAAGGCATAGTTACTGTTTCTAAAGAAACAAAAGTCTTTGAAAGATTTGATAATTGAGCTAAATATGTAAAGTATCTATCGAGGTCATTCTTTAGTTTGCTAATGATAGTATTTCGATGCCTTGAGAATAGCAATGGTCAATATTTTTTTGGTCGTATTGTATAGTCGAACCACTCTTAGATGGGTATATACAGTCAATATTTGAGTCAACATATTGTTCTTTTTCTTCACATCATTCTTTGTTGTTCGGTGAATGAAACGAGGGAAAGTTTTGTCCGACGTAAAAAAAAATAACTAAATCGTCTATACACTTCTAATTGAGTCGGCAGTAGTAAGAAAAGTATGAACAGTCATGGTACTTGACATTACTGTATAAAATCGTTGAGACATGGCATCGTATCGTTATCTTACTCTTGACGAAAATATCGAATTGATCCATGACTATGACAATGAAGCTTGGGAGATGAGGGTACAAATTGTGTGAGAAGTACAAAGTATCAAAGAGTGCTGTATATAACATTGTTCAAGGAAGAGATGGATATACTTAATATCTCCATAGGAATGCAAACAAAGGTGTAGAAGGCAAACTGTAAGACAAGTCGAGTCACAAGGTCGATGATACGACCTTTTCGTGGTTTCTGGCATAAAGAGCGAAAAATATTCCACTATCAGGGCCCTTAATTCAGAAAAAGGCACGTGAAATTGCCGGTAAAATTGTGATTTCACTAAGATTCTTTTTGAGAAGCTTATTGTAGATAAGAAACTAGAACTCAATTTAAATGAAGATGATATCAGATGATGAGAGTGAAACACTGGACATAGTCGAAGGTCTAAGACACATTGATGATATATATGAATAGGTTCACTATGTGACATCAATTGCAGAAAACATTTATGCTCGGTATCTGTAAAGACCTCTATAACGGGGGCACCTCGATCATGTAGGTGATTTGAAAGTACATAGCTGTCCATCTAAAGGAGTTTTATTGTATCTTCATCTAATTTTGAATTTTTAACAGGTGGCTATAAAGAATGACTTCCTCTTTGTGTTGTTGCAATACTAGATGAGACAAACGGTTGTCGCAATTCTCACAACTTTCAAAAAATAAATTTCTCGAGAAGAAAAAAAGCTAAAATCTTGATTGCTTTGGGATTTTTCACTCTCAGCTAGTAAATTACAATTTTTTCTGTCAATAATTCGGTTTTTTATTATTAAACACAATGATAATAATCGTTTTGATAGGAGAGGAAAGTTACTTTTACGTTAACCAGTGACGGATAACGGCCAATGGAAAATTTTTGAGTTCCGCTTCTTCATCAAGAAAGACTTATTTCCAGAAAATAATGAATTCTTATAAAGTTTGATCAAAGGCTATTAAGGCCAAGGAAGTCGTATCCACACATGATTTGCATACACAGAAAGCCCTTGTGGTTAGTATGTGGTTAGTCAGCATGCGTGGGAAGCTTAAGCAATTAATCGGGAAGAACTCTGCGTCAGGCTGGCCTTCTGCCCAGAGCTGCAACTAGTAATAGTTGTAGGAAAAATATCGGACCTTCGAAACTGTCCTTAGACAGCACTCTATACTGAAAGGTAGCCGAAAGGCAAGAGTATTCTTCTTCACATGATTTGTTGAAATTTTCTAGTTGAGTCTTATCGATCATCAGACACTATTTTCTCAGAACTTTCTCTAAACTTCCTCTCATATTAGAAGCCTCCCGGGGCTTCTATTTGGCTTTGCAAACTTTGGTAGAATGCTACTGGGAAAAACTGAAAATTTTGCTGGAGAGATCCTTTAAATGGGGCTTCTAATAGGGAGAGGGCTTCTAATATGGAAGGGGCTTCTATTACGGGGAGGGGTTTATTCCATCCGGTACGCACGAAACATAGTATTGTTCAGGTCATTGGAAGAGGTCCTGATAGCCCTAGATTGACAGCTGACCTGTAGCCAGACATTTCCTAAGAGAGAAGAGCCGGACTTCAAAAGGAGAAGCGTATTATAGCGAAAAACTATTTTTGATCAGCGAAAAATTTAATTTACCGTATCCCGTTCAAAGTTTTTGTCTCAAGGGAGACCCAGATCCATTGGCCTCCCTCTTGACTACGAGCCTGATTAACTATACCAACATTATGATTGGTCCGTACAAGAATGAAGAAAAGTTTACTATATTTTTACTTTAATCAGTATTCTCATCATCACGCAGTGATGTGTATGTAAATTCACCCATTGTCGTGCGGACGTAACACAATATTGTTCAGATCAATTCAGGATTAGTAGAGACTCACTTTTCAATGGTCCGAAAAATTCCATAGCCCATCCAGTCCTATATTAAAGACAAATCTTGCTACGATCTGATTAACTGATTAAAAATGCCTGTAGCCAATCGAATTTCAGCAGGATTTTTCGTTACTATTGCATGGCCGAAACATGGTGTCAGCCGGCCACTCTGGAGTTAGAAGGAGTTCTCCTTAAAAGAGTCGACGAACAAGCTGTTTTGTCTTTACAATAATGGACAGAAATCCTGTTTGAAGAAGAAGAATATCTCTTGCCTATCGGCTACCTTCAGTATAGGATGCCGCCCAAGGATAGTTCCATCAGCCCGATATTTTGTCTACAATTATAACTAGCTGCAGGCCCAGACACAAAGTCCACCTGACGCAGAGTTTTTCACGATCAATTACTTGAGCTCTCATAAACATTAACTAACCATATAATGGTTGCAAGTGCCGGTGTATGCCACATGTAGTCAGTATGCTATCGGATGGGTGATTCTAGACAAACAGTCGTTACTGACTTGTTCGCGGTCATTCTGTGTTGGTGATCTTCAGGTTTGATCATAGTATCTTGTGGATACGTGTCGAACAACGCAGCTATTCAGACATCGGGTCAACTCTACTCGAATTTGATTGACTAGAAGTTTTTCTATTAGTCAATCAGATTGTAATAGGATTTTCCTTCACTTTTTGTACAGACAAAAGATGGCTTTACTCAGGCCACGTCAAGGTTTAGGAGGCGTTCTTTTTTCAATAGTCTGAACAATTGCAGGTTTTTGTTCGTGTAATAATGAAGAAAAGCTATGGTGAAATCTGATTGAGTAGAAGATTGTTCCTATCACCAAATCAAATTGCAGTAAACTTTATTTTCACCATCGCACGAATGAAGCATGACGATGTTTGAGCCAAGCTAGGGGATAGTAGAGATCTACGTTCAAATGGTCCGAATAACATCATGCTCCGAGTTAATTGCCTGACTGAAAAGCCTGCTATCCAATCAAATGTTAGTTAAATTTATCATCACTATCTTATGGATAAAATATGGAATTGTTCGGAGTAATTAAAAGATTAAGAAG